AGTAAATGCAGCCTTGGTGAGCATAAGAGACTTTTTTTCAAAAACATTGCAAACTCTTACCAGCCCCAAACTTATGAACAATAATGTATACAAATGCAGTAAATATTGAGTATGCAGTATTTCATTCTGAACAAATCCATAGACATAGAGAAACAGGAAACAATTGTCTAAAACTCTCATATTGCAACAATACAGACACAAAGAGAAAGATATTCACAATATAAGGCAAAATAAGTAGGAAAAACTGAAGTTAGCCGCATTGTATTGATGGAAGGATTTCTCCATTCATCACGAGGGATGTGTGTGTGTAGTTCTTCTCGAGTGTCTCAGGAGATGAGCCACTGAGGGCAGCTGACTCCAGTGAAGCGGAACTCACCCTCAGATCATCTCAGCCCAGCCCTGCACTGCCTATAGGCATAGCAATGGAGCTTGACATCAGATGATTGAAAACAAATGCAAATATTCTCTCCCCAAACACACACAAAACAAGCCTTTTCTCTCTGCCTCTTTCTCACATACAAGAAAATCAAACCTGCAGCATTTAACATAAGTCAGAGAGCAGATCATTGCTTTTCTCTAGAGCACACTCACAGCGAAGAGATTCATTTCACACAGCTCTTCGACTCGGTTTCATTTCGTGACTGGACATTAAAAAGACATACTGCCAGGATAGTGCCTGAGACATGTGAAGAACAAGAAAGAAATAGTGTCAGTTAATGCACAAGAGGAGTAGTTCAGTACAACTAGTTTCTAAGTGATCGTGAGCTGTTTAAAGGTCATTTTGAACATACAGTCATGATGTACATTGGTAAACCTTTGCAAATACATGGTAATCTATAGCTAAATGTCCACACTTTCTTGGTCAAACATACAGTATAATGTTACTCTACATACACTCTATGGTCAATAGTACTTAATGATGAGCATTTCATTTAAAAACCATTGGCACTGGATAGGACACAATCATGAGATACAATTAAGCAACGCAACAGTTCACTCAGTCATAACTGTGAAAAGTTTAGGCATCCATGATTATGGTAGCAAGACATAAAAGTGATCTAGAGCTTAGTACAATATCGAACTGTTGGTCCATTGCTTTGCCCCCTCTTGTTATAGCCATAAAAGCCAATTGCAGGTCCATTCTCAGCAAATTCATACACTCATAATACTTGCCAAAGGCTTGTATCTCAAAAGAATAAAATTCTTCATGTTTGTGTAATAAGAATCTAATCCTCACATCCATTGTGCACAATTTCATCTATGAAACTATCACTATTTTCCTAAGAGTGTAACTGGTTATTGCATAAAAAGCACCCCGGTGGCAATATTGTTTTTTATTGTTTTCAATATGCAATATTGTTAATATGTTCCTTGTGCAACTGCCTGCCTGTAGTCTTTACTATACATTGAGTCGGAGTTGTTAAATTACGCTAGTGGCAGAAAACCAATGTCATCCACAGCAGAAGAACAGTACAGCTAAAGTACCGAAATAAAACAACATGTGGATGATTGAGAATGTTTTCAGCGGTTACATCTTCAGTTCTGTTTCTCAGCCAAGCTGACAGCATCAGAGGTGCTAGCTAAATTGCTAACAAGATGCTCCATAAGGACTACAAATACCACAAGGATGTGATTCAGTGTCTCTTGTGCCCTTCAAGTGGAGTCAGAAATATTGTAATTACGAGTTCCGAGCACATGAATAGCCGAAGTTGCATTTACTAAGAGGAAACTCAGAATCCTAGATGATACACGAGTTGCCAAGTTATGATGGAGGGGGTGTTTTGATACATGCCAGAAACGCCGATGAAACACTGAACTTGTGATGCTCCTACTTGGCCATTCGTTATTGCAAAATGTCTCGCATTCAAGTCGAAAAAAGTATATACAAGTTGTCTAAACAAAACACAACCAAAGAACAACGAGAAAAAAGTTTTCTACATAAATATATATATATATTTTTTACATTTACTGAATTGAAAACAGTCGTTTCACTTACGTATGCAAGGTATCTAACAAACCCATTTACTTCGTGATTATCTTTACATTTGTTGTCTAAATGCCTTATAATTTAAATTCAGCACAGAAAATTAACCATAGCATGAAGCGTGGCCTCCCTTAGGGGAGAGATTTCAACCCAGAGGGAACTTACTACCCCCGGCCGCGCCTGGAACGTGATTTCAACCGACCCCGAATGCTCTGCCACCCCAGACAGGCTGCGAACCCTTACCTGGCCACCCCTACGAAAATATCTTTAGTGAACAGTTCTTAAAAGAACCATTTTTTCTTAGTGTGAAGAACATTTTATTGAAAACATTTTTATGCATTGAAAAAGTTCCAGAGATGTTAAAGGTTTTCATGGAACCGTGGATGCCAATAAAGAACATGTCTTTTTAAGATTGTAGTGCATTTAAGGTTTGTGTGTAATTCATGTTGTTGAACAAAATGCGTAAATCGCAAACAAACCATATTTACTCAAATCCAAAATTATAATTCAAAAAATCCATTGGAAATTCCAGAGGGAACCATTGGCTAGAAAATGCTAGTTCCCTTTCAAGTATTAGTGCTATAAAACAAACAGCTCAATTCCATAACAAGCATTCCGTACTACTGCATTCATGCAGTGGAAGCCCTTATTCCCGGATGACACTAAGCCAAAACACAAATCATCTGCTGAGAAAGAACTCGTCTTCAGTGAAGCCTGAATCCAAGCCTCCCACCCCTTCTTGAAAAACCATTGCATCTGCAGATGATCAGTTACTCCGTTTGTCACTTTCCTCCTCACTCTCTCTTTTCCCCTTCACCCTTTTTCCCATATCCGTGGTGTAGGTGAGAAGAGCGAGTTTCGCACCATGACATTGTCACAGGCCAATTGTACTTCTTCAAACCCACTGCCTCATGTCCCCACCGGATGACTTCATCATCATCATCATCATCTCCCCCCTCTGCGGTCGCAGTTGTAGGGTCTTACTGCCGGTGTCCAGCTCGTGAGAAGGCAGGGAGCCGGAGAGGAGGTGGGTGGGGGGTGTGAGGAGAGCTGACTCACATGGAATGAGGGGGATGCTACAGCTCAGAGCGCCTCTGAATCATCACTGTCTTCTCCAGCACAACCACCATCATCATCATCATGACACGTCTGTCATTCAGTGTTTCTGTGAATGGAGAGAAGAGAGAAACGCTGGTGGTACTATGAGGTAAAGTGGTCCATATTTATTCGGGAAGATGAGTTTAACTAATTCAAAAGCCAGGGTGTGGCTGTGTCACGGGGCCACCTTGCATGCGTGTTTGTTTGAAAGCGAGAGACTATATTTAGCCGAACGGTTATAATAAAACAGCAGATGGTTTACATTGTAGGAGGGAAGAAAATGCTGACATAGGAGGGACTATTTGTAGTACTAAAGGGAGGGTCCATGTGTTTGCCAAGTCAAAACACAAACATATAGACGTGACACCTCTGCTGTCTGTACATCATTTAATCAGGACGCTAGGGATGGTGTTAATATTCAAAAGGGAATGGGGAAAGGAGGGTTGAAAAACCATTGGCTGGATGTTTTAATTGGACTGATAATTTTATTGAAGTTAGAGTCAAGTTTCACAAAAGCTGGATTATGTGTAATTTAGTATAACTGAGTAGCACACCACATTCGAAGCTTCAGCCTCCAAATATAAGGCAGTTGGAGATGAATGGGTTCTTTCAGCACAGGAAAAAAAGAAACAAAGTAGATCAAGTGAGAAATAACAGGAACATTTCTATGCCAATGCAGTTATATATACCTATGCAGTACCTATGCAGTTACATACCTATACCTATGCAGTTACATACAAAACGTGATGGCTTTTGTTTACCAGCTGCAAAAATTATATGGAATTTAGTATTGAAAAGATTTTGAGAGACAAAAACCTTGAGGAATATGAATAAGCTAGAAGTATGGCTAAAAAAAATCGAGCATAAATGGAAGTTTTATGGCAAATTTTGTGATTTCAGTTTCAAGGTTAAAGGGTTTAGAATTTCTATTTTTTTATAATTAAAAACAAAGTGAAACCGGTACATAGTACAGTTTACAGCAGCAAAATAAATTGAAGTTAACTCTACATAGCACATTCTTCTTTCAGCTTAATGGAGTGTTATTACCATAAACAAAAAATAAATAAACATTTTTGTTAACTAAAATAAAACCTAGCATAACCGGGGGGGAAAAAAAAACTTTTATCATAAAAACAGTATAATAACTCCACTATTATGAAAACAAAAGTTAAACAAAATAAAAATGGATACAAATGAATTTTCACTTCAGGTTTTGATACACGGTATATAATAAAACTTGAAACAGCGCACCAACAAATGCCAAAAGACTGAATTGTCATCTAAAATGAACCAAAACATGCTCAAGTTTTGACTTCTAAATGACTTTCCAGAAAAGAGAAGGAAACCTCCAGGCACATGAATTTGCAAATCTTGCTTTTTTAATTAAAAACAAATGAGCAATCAACCCAAAGCAGTTTTGTGGTTTCTTTTTTGTGTGACATAGCAAATCAATTCAAAAGGATCAAGTGTAAACTTACAACAATATAGTACATTATTCTGACATTTCATTAATGTGGGGGGCTGACAGAAAAATTATTTTCATATCAATTATTTATGCAATTATCCATATTCACAACTATATACATTCATGTCAAATTCAAAACACCTGAAGCCATGAACTCTGAAACAAAAAAGACATTCATAAAAATAAAATGCTCCAAATTAAACGATCATTTTCTTTAAAAATATAGTTGAAGAGAGGACTTTTACAATGATATGAAGATTAAATTAAAATTGCTTCATTTAAACATAGGCACATTGTTTGTTAATATCTGAGGCTTAATAGTGACAGGACGATTTCCTGGCAGACATTTTGAAACCCACCCGAACTGAGGCTGAGCAGCAGAATCAAACATAGCCAGTGCTCCATGCTAGTACACATGTAAACAAAAACAGAGGACTAAAGGATCTGTGTCTGTCGCAGGAGCCCAACACTTCAACCTTCCTTTCTATTAGAACACCACCACCAACCACCCCAACATAAGACCCTCCTTCCGGACGATAAATATACATTTCTTTGCGTTAGATGCTTGTCTTTCATACAATAATGATTCTTTGGCATAAATAACCCTCTATTTCAATTCCTTTCTGACTAAGATCAAATCAAACTGAAATAAAAATCATCACAGACCTGAATACCCCTGTAAAGAAAACAAAACAATCCTCAATGACTACTACGATATTTCATAAAAAAGAGAAACATTTGGCTACAGGGCAAAAAAAAACAATAAAACTGTGATTTGGATAAACATTGGTTAGAACTAAGAACAGCCTTTACCTGACCTGCAAAGCAGCAACAAATCTCTCAATTAGCCAATTACACACTTTACTCAAGATTCATCCAATAATGTCCCTGTAATGATAATAATAATATTATATATACTTTTTAAAAGCAACAAAGCTTCCATAACCGTATCCATGTCACCACAGTTAAAATACTGGCGAGTCTCAATCGCTATATATGAAGGAAACCACTTCGATGGATGAAGTTTATGATTATCAAGTTGTGCACCTTAAGACCATCCACTACTAACCGAACTGATCAAACAGTTCAGAACGTCAGTAATATTAGAGAACACATCTATAAAACACCAACCGATATGTCACTAACAGTAATGGACAATATGGTTGAGTCCAGTGTTGCATGCAGCACAAAATAAAGTGATATTGCTGTACATAGTGCTCTACATTTCCTGGTGGTATGCAGCATAATGAGTGAGTTTAGAATCTGGGACATGACAATGTAAGACACAAGCACTGACATTCCTCTTACTAGGACACGTTATATATCTTTGTTAACTGACCCACAATCAGTTGCAAGATCACTTTGAGCTGCACTCTTAAGGCAAACGGCGCCTTCTGGACTCACATGGCACATCAAACTCAGTTTTTTAAATTTTTTTTATTTACTCACAAACATCAGCTGACATTTGTCTAGAAGCATGTGGTTTTCGAGTGTAACTGCTAGCTGTTAGTACTGAACAAACATCAGCTCATCAGGCTGCACTGCGGGTGAAGAGAGAGAAGGCCCCAAGGTTTCAGACAGGTATTGATATAGTGTGAGTTGTATGTGTAGTCTCGGGCCACTTTGAAGGATGAGACTGCGTCGGCAGCTTTGTATTTTTAGGCAACATGTCCAGAGAGAGTGTGTGAGGAAGGGAAAGGTGACCTGCTTTCACTTTGATCGATTGTCTTGCCCACGGTGGTTTTTCCGAAAAAGAAAACGAAGGAACAGAGAAAGAAACCTGTGCTTATAGGTAAGAAACAAATTTGGCACAGCCCACTAAACCCTCATGGTTAAAGCAGAGGTAAAATGCACAAGGTGAAAAAATAAAAATAAAACGCCTTCATTTCAAGAGGAACCTTTATCAAACGAGATGAGAAACAGCGATTATGAAGAGGCGCGAGATCACTGTGCCCCCCACTTTATGAGTTAACAGCAAAGGGGTGGGTTTTTCTGGAAGACGATATGTGGCCCACTCCTGCCACAGCCGTCGAGCGCAGAAGGCCGTTCCCATGGGCCTCTGGCAAGCTTCCCTTCTCTCATCTCCATCTCTCTTTCATCCTTCTTTCAGGGGGACAGGTTGAGCAGCTTAGTGGATTTATTTGGATAATTAATGGCCAGGCTGATGGCGGCGATGTTCTTCAGCGCCTGTGCAATAAAACGGGAGAGAACGATATAAAGAAATGAGAAATGAGTGAATGAGTACAGGAGGAGAAAGAAAGAGGGGGGGGGGGGGGTTACAATGGCAGAAAAAGTAAGAGAGAAAAAACATTACGCAAAACATTGTGGGTAATTTATCAAACCGTTTCACACACACCTGTGGCCCTCAGAGCTCAGCAAAAACACTCACACACACAATTAGCACACTTCAAATATGTCGCTGTCTGGCCCATTTAAAAACTTTTTTGCCACAAAAATGCTATTTTTTTAACAACATCAAACCACTTGTTTGGCTTTCATGAATATTACAAGCATGTTTATATTTGAGCTAAAAAGGTGCTTGGGATAAGATAAATACAGAGCACTAATCCCGTCCTACACAACACAATGTGTTCCTTTAGCCGCCCCTGTGCCGGAGATGAGGCTGTGCCACACTGAACACGATAATGGGGTTAATGACTAAATGCAATAGAGTTGCCCACAGCCCACACACAAACACACATGTACTGTATATGGATAATGGGTACGCCGCATGCCTCATGCGAAAATCGACACAGGTGTTTTTAATCAATATCCTTTCTGATGTTCAGCTATTTAAGCATAATATTTAGAGCACAAATATTTATTTCACTAATGCTGTTATCCGTCTATGTGAACAAAGGTCAAATGCTCTTACTCAAAACTCGAGAAAAAAAAGTTGTTTTCTCAAATTTCATTTATTAATCTGTACTACAACGAATGTTATTGCAACAGAAACGATATCAAACAACAAATGGGATTGCTACTGTATAGTAATAATAAAATACACTCTCTAATTTTGCATCAAGTATCCAGACTGTGCAATGACTGTCGGTCATCAAGGTTTGCTAATAAAACAAGCTTTACACACTATTAGACATTACAGGATCATTATTACTCATCAGCATATGGTGGGACACTAGATGCAGCTGTCCATTTGACAAACATTCACGTTTCCACTGTGCTGCGGTTTCCTGTCCTTCCAGGTTTATGGCATGAGTCAATGCACTAGGCTCTGCCACATCTTATTTTATAGCAGTGAACCAAGACCACCGAAAACCCTTTGTGGTTCCTGGTATATATGTGTACTCATTTAAATATGGCTGCATCAGTTTAGTGTCTTCATACTGTATGCCTTCTTCAACTACACAACACTTACTAACTATACATTGTATTCCAAAGTCTATTGTCCTTTTTCCTTTATGTCAAATTATTCATCTGTATATACTGATTACAAATAGGACTACAAAATTATATTATATGCTAATTAATCAAATTCCATAAAATAAAATACAAATCTGGTATTTATGCTACTAGTTTAAAAAAATAATAATGAATTGTACTAAATTAACAAGTTAAATGGACAAGCCATTTTTATTTACAAGGTTTATTTACATAAACCTTACAGAATACTACCTTTTTACTTCTCTAATTTTAATGTTACAAATGTGGTGTTCATGGCATACCTTCTCGGACATGCTCATGGCTGTTAACTGGTAAAATACAATTAAAAATAAAAAAATGTATATGAACACTACAGGAACTGTGGCAGTCTTACCTGAGCAGTGCGCACTACTAGCTGTTCATTGGTAGTGAGAGCAAGAAGATACTCCTGCAGAACGTCCTGCTCCTGACGGACAAATGAAAAGACACATAAAACAGCGTTGATATTTAACCACAACATGAATTTGACACATTTAGCCCCTTTAAAGTTCATCGATATATATAAAAGCAAGCTGCAAACAATGCTGAATTTATTCTACAGCACATGCCAGGAAAGCAATTTTAAGAGAGGTCGGTTCAATTCAAGGCCAGTAAGACTAGAGTCATTCTCCATATACTGGCTCCCACTCCTGTAACTCAGCAGGAGCTGTTAATCTGGAGTTTGGAGTAGCACCATGCTGCTGATGACATAACTCGGAATCAAACCAGACACCATCTAAATCAGCCCTGCCTCTGCCATCTCATTTCCTGAGGTAGGAGTATTTGCACTGTTCCAGGTATTTCACATTGATCAAAGTCTAGAGTTTATAAATAAGTATTTCTGTGTTATGCAGAGGCTGTTATACGATCTCTGGGGAACCTTTGAGGGAATATGGTGGAACCCATAAACATGTTATGTGAAGTAGGCATAATACAATACATAAGTGCATTGTTTAAAAAGAAGTACTATGTTGTGTTAAACCCTGAAAAATCAGTGAACATGTTCATATCAAGGTAAACTTCTATAGTGACAATATGTACAGGATAAACAGCACACAACTAGGTTGACAAGGTTAATGCATACTCATGCACAGATTGGCAAGAATTAGCCATACACTGTTGAAATGTGTTCATGAACTCCAGATGGCACACTAGGCTAGAAAAGCGAATGCTAATGACGAATGGGAAACTGAACAGGTAGAGCACAAAAGATGACGTTACACATTTAAAAGGAAGTTTGCGCACAGATATCACTGTTCACTGAAATGTGTATTTTGTTGTCCTTCCTAATTTTGTTTATATAGTTAGTTTGTATATTTTGACTGGTTGAAATGGTTTCCACAAAATTATTAAGCAGCATAGCTGTTTTCAGCATTGACAACAGATTCAACATATTAGAATGATTTCTGAAGGACCACGTGACAATATCTTGTCTCCTTAATCTTGTCAAATAACCTCCTTGCTGACAACTCAGTTTGAATGACTTTAGTGGGAGGAGTTATGATACTTGGGGTTAACAGAAGCTGGTCAGATCACACGCCTCTTCTACACCAAACCGAATGGCATCTAGACATCTCAACATACTTCTTGACAGAACTTTCTGTAGACTGTGGAGAGGTTGCAGCTTTAGTCATGTCAGAACACATTCAAAACCACTTCCTCTGTGAAGGAGGGGCTTTTATCATCCCGCAGAAATGAGTGTACTACACTACAGGAGAGGAAGACAGAATGAGTCTGAACTTCTTATCTGTTTTTTCTTCTTTCCGTCTCATTTCCGGTGCAAAAACTGAGCAATGACATGCTGAAACTCATGCAAATGTGAGCCGACAAGCTCCCACTAGTGAAGCGTTCTGATCCCATTTTCTAGTGTTGCCTTACTGAAAATAAACAAAGGATCAGTCATGACCATCTGGCTGCTGAGAGGTTTGCAATCTTTATGGTCAGTTCTGAGAAGTGCAGTGGCTGTGGGAGATTAAGGCTCTTCATGAGGCCAAACAGTGTTGAGCATCTACTGGTGTAACCACTCAACACTCACTTCATCCATCTCAGTCCTTGAGACTAATGCTCACTTAAACATTTCCCATTCAAACACACACATAAACCACTTCATATTTGTGTCCAACTTGGCTGTTAAAGGATTACAGCTCAAGGATAAAAGAGTATTGTCATAAAAGCTTTTCTCCCATTCACAGGCTCAAAGAAAGAGCCATTCACTCAGGCATGAGAGTAGAGTAGAGGCTTTACATGACATAGATGTTTAGAAATATACACATCAGGATATGTCATTATGTGTTTGTTTCTCTGAACTCTGTGTTACTATACCATGTTCTTTAAGAATATTTTGGCCTACTTTGAATACAAGGAGGTGTGTTAGTGTCCCCTAGTGGCCGGTTTTTCTCTACCAAACAATTATAAGGTGTTTGGAAACTAAAGCCACTCTTACATATGCATGAATATCTTTGCATTATATAACAAAATATCAAATGAAGTGGACTTATATAAAAAATATATAGCAAAAAACACTTTCTAAGTGAAACCTTTCCCCCGCCTAAAAAAGTTTGTGCCACTTTGTGGCTGTCAGACGTTCTACACTAGACGTTTGTCAGACGTTCTACACCAGACATTTGTCAGACGTTCGACACCAGACGTTCTACACTAGACGTTTGGCAGACGTTCTACACTAGACGTTTGTCAGACGTTCTACACCAGACATTTGTCAGACGTTCTACACCAGACGTTCTACACTAGACGTTTGTCAGACGTTCTACACCAGACGTTCTACACTAGACATTTGTCAGACGTTCGACACCAGACGTTTGACAGACGTTCTACACCATCTTACTCCGTTATGATGCTTGTGTGAACTTTAGAGCAACTGACTACACGCATCCACTTTATATAGCTCAACAAATCAAATGACTGAAGTGTTGTAAATCACTGATTTGTGTTTACCGATATATTTCTTAAGTGAAAAGTGTCCAAATACCCTATGGGGCACCTGTACATTCACAAGACAATAGAAAGACTAATATAGAAGACTCTGTCTATGTTCTTTCAAACACTGTTTAAGAGGACACTGCACCAAATCACCATGAATCATAAAGTGATGGATTTTGGACAATTTTAGATTTTTGCACAGGCCCATGCATATGGATTATCTAGGGGATCCAGTTAAACTTAGTTTAAGCTGAGGATCCTCCATTGGTAAACAGGACCAGCATTACGAACAGTCAATCATAAAGATTTATCATTCTAAAGTCTTGTGGACTTGCATGCTACACCATGTAAACAGGGTCAGATTAAAGGTAGGCGTTTCAATTATTTAGAGTGTAGAATACAAACATGGAAACTCTCAACACACTCAACAGACAGTTGTGCAGGTGGATACAAGATACTCAGTAAATCATATGGGTATGAGTGGAAGACTCACTTTAATGGCACTCCCCTGACAGACACTCACACATACAGACCCTGACGTGATTCAGACTGAATTAAGTCTGACATTAATGCTCTCCAGTCCAGTTTCTCACATATCATCACATTACTATTTCCTATTACAGCACTAAATAATTATTGTACGTCACCTGGATGCCTCCCAGAATTCTGGGCTCAATATAAATGTTCCCACTTAGGGATGCTGAAGGATGATTCAAAGAACAAAATTATTTTATTATGAATGCAAGGGCTGCCACAAGATGCTACTGTCCAGACAGAGCCGATGCCTCAATAAATAACTTTAAGGGGACACATTTGTCAATTTACCAATTTAAAGTATATGCATCTAAAATGATTGATAGTGTTTTATCATCGCTGTCTGAAGGACGGAACAATTCACGTCTGTTACCCAGGCATATGCATAACCCTTAACGCATACCAAAATAAATGATCAAATAAAGATTAAGAATCAAAAATGCTGAGAAATTATGCATCTTAAATGAAATTCTTTCTATTTTAATATATTTTCCAACATAATGTATTCCTGTGGTGCAAAGCTGAATTTTCAGCAGCCATTACTCCAGTCTTCAGTGTGACATGATCCTTCAGAAATCATTTTAATATGCTGATTTGCTGCACAAGAAACATTTCTTATCAATGTTGAAAATGGTTGTGCTGCTTAATATCTTTGTGGAAACTGTGAAACTTTTTTCAGGTTTCTTTAGTCAATAGAAAGTTCAAAAGAACAGTATTTATTTAAAATAGAAATTTGTGTAACATTATAAAAGTCTTTACTGTCACTTTTGATCAATTGAATGTGTCCTTGCTGAATAAAAGCATTAAATAAAAGCACCCCAGATTTCTGAGCAGTAGTGTAACATGTAAATAATAAAAAACACGTAAATAATTATTAAATAAAATATCTAAATTATTTACTCTACCTAATGATCTCCTGTGCTGTTATTCTTTATGCCTTTTCTTATGAATGTTCTTAAAAGAGATGCTTAAGAATGGAGGAAGACGATGGTCACTCACCATAGCCTTGACTTCAGCGATGAAAAAGAGCTCAGTGAGAGCGCGATGGAGAGGAAGGAGGACCGTGATGCTGGTGGGGTCCTGAATCAAACCACTTTCCATAGTAGTGAAGAGCTGCCACAGTGGCCGCAGAAGTGTGAGGTCACAAGCCCTGTGTTTATACACACAACAATCAAAGCGTGAGGTCATTACACTAAATGATCATTACTCATATGTGACCCTGGACCACAAAACCAGTATTAAAGGGGTCATATGATGCGATTTCAATTTTTCCTTTCTCTTTGGAGTGTTACAAGCTCTTGGTGCATAAAGAAGATCTGTAAAGTTGCAAAGACTTAAGTCTCAAATCCAACGAGATATTCTTTATAAACGTTAAGAGTCAACCACGCCTACCTAAAACGGCTCGTTCTAACACGCCTCCACATATCTACGTCACGATGTGGGAAGATTTGCATAACGCCGTTTAAATGTTCACGCAAAGAAAGAAGGCGTAACTTTTATTCTCTCTGTTGCCGCCGCTGCATGTTGTGGAGACGCTGTGTGTTTCGTTGTGAAAGCGAAACTACTTTGTTTGGTCTTCCAAAAGAGGACACAACTAGAAATCAGTGGTTAAGTTGTATTTACAACACTGTTCCAGAACAGTTCAACCCAAATATTCAGATGTGTGCAGCGCATTTTATGGAGGATGACGGTTTCCTGTGAGAGTAGCCTACAATGCGTCTGTGGCACAAAGGCTGTTTCTATAAAGTGGGGCAGTTCCAACTTTGCAAGGACAGTCTGGCTCTTCTGACTCACAGCAGGGAAGTACGTTTTTTTATATTTAAAGAATTTGCCACTGATGATTCAAACGCGAGT